GCTATAAAAATGTGCATACCCTTTGATCCAGCAATACCACTACTAGGTCTGTATCCCAAAGGGATCATAAAAAAGGGAAAAAGACCCACATATGCAAAAATATTTATAGCAGCTCTTTTTGTGGTGGCCAAGAATTGGAAATTGAGGAGATGTCCATCAATTGGGGAATGGCTGAACAAGTTGTGGCATATGAATGTAAGGGAATACTGTTGTCCTGCAACGTATATGGAAATGTTCATTTTCTTTGGTGTGGGGTAAGTTCAGAATAAAAAAAAAATAAAGAGAATTGGCAAAAACAGAAGCCAAGAAAAAGTGAATGTATGTGAAAATCTTTACCAGACTAAAGCTCTACATAAATGTAAGCTATATTGGCTCTCCTTTCCCATTCCAGCGGATAGGGATAGGAGAGTAGTGTCTGTTTGCCTTCAGCCTCCAATCCAGAGCACAAGAAAAGGCCTGCCCTCTTCCTCACTACCCACTATTAAAGGGCTCCTCTATTTCCCACCATCTTAAATTCCTGATATTCTTGGGGCCAGGGAAGTTCTCCAGCACCTTCTAAGGAAAATCCCAGGTATCCATCATATTGGAACATTGTACTTAAGATTCGGTGTGCAGAAAGGTAACTAGAACCAAGAGACAGAAAAGTAAGAAGGAAGGGAGGGTTAGGGAAAAGACCCTCTGTAGGTAGTGAGATCTGACAGCCCTCATGTTTCCATGGTCTGGCTACAGCCTCACAAATCCCTGCCCATCAGTGGATGGGCAGTCATTGATTCTGGCTGGATACCAGGAAAGTTTATTACAGAAAGAAAGGGGAGGAAGAGGAGAATAAGCATTTATTAAGTGCCTACTTTGTGCCAGGCACTGTACTAAGGCTTTACAAATATTATCTCATTTGATCCTTACAACAACCTTGGTAGGAAGGTGCTATTGTTACCCTATTTTACAGCTGAAGAAACTGAAGTTAAGTGACTTGCCCAGGGTCACACAGCTAGAAAGTGCCTGAGGCTGAATTTGAATTCAGGTCTTCCTGACTCCAAGTCTAGCACTTTATCCACTATATCTAGCTATCCTCTCAAAGGAACAAAGGGGTACTCATGGCTTTCATCCTTCCATCCCCCTATCAAAGGCTAGGGAGAAACCTATTCCTAGTTCTGGTCCCTGCCCCCATAAAATTGGCTCATCCCATCCTCTATGATATCAGAACCACAGAGTTTTAAAGGTATGTACCTCAGAGGTCACCTAGTCCAAGCTATACCTGAAGCATGAATCCCCGCTCTGGGAGGCAGCTCCTGACTCAGTGACCTTGAAGGTGGGAGGAGGCCTGTTTTTCCAGGCATTCTGGAGCTGGAGAAGGAGTCTCAGCAGTATAGTATCCAGCACAGCCAGCCCTTCCCAGGAACACCGAAGCCCGCTGGAACAAAGAGGAGATGAGATAACAGTCCTCCCTCCCCATTCCCTACCCCTTAACCAATAGCTTCCCCAACCCCGTGGCCCTATCACTCTGGTTGTCCCAATCTGCGACCCCTTTCCATCCTCCCCTCCTCATCTCCACCCTCCTCTCCCACCAGCTCACCTGTGGTCCAGCAGCAACAGACCTTGTGACTGGAGCTCCCTCACTTCCTCAGATTCCCCAAACACATCCCACAGGGACAAGTGGGGCTCAAAGTACAGCCAGTGCTGGAGAGGACAGAGTCAGAGTTGTGCCCCATCCCTCAACCTCTCACCCTGGGGGACTTTGTAGTCCCCTGTTTCCAAAGGCTGGAGAGTGAGCATTATGTCAGGGTGCATAAGGGAGGAGGCCTGGATAGACCCACTGGGAATAGCTACGCTATGTCTCACCCACATACGCTCAGTATGTGTATGCTACATGGTGATGTCTCACTCAAGCACGGGGCAACTCAGAGCACAGCCTGAGGATGAGCAAACATCTCCCTTGCTTTCAACCACTCATCATCCAAGAATCTGCAAATGATGAGGGAGTAACCTTCAGGTCACACTTCCTCCTTCCTCCATGCCTTCCACATCTGATCCAGTCTCCTCTCCACCCTGTCTCTCATTGCTATCCTGTTTTGTTTTCTTTGGCTCTGTGTTCCCCCCAATACCTAACCTATGGCCAAGCACACAGTAGGAACTCAATAAATGTTTGGGTACGGCGGTGAAAGTGCTGGCTCTGTGCTTACTGTCTTAATCTTTGTTTCCCTTCCAGTTCTAGCTCTCTGGTCATAGGCAACATCAACATCCATACAGACCCTTCTAAAAACCTGGACAGTTAAGCCAACCTCTTCTATCTAATCCAATCTGCCAGCCATTTATTAAGCAACCACTTAACACTGTGTTTAATAACTATAAAACAAAGTGCAAGATTATAAAACTGGGAATACCAAGACAAAATAAAATAGAGTCCCTGTACTCAGAAAGCTGACACTCCACCAGGATCTGGTCCCAGGTGGGATAGGGAGACAGATAGGGACAGGGCAGCTAGGTGGCGCCATAGTGCACAGAGTGCCAGGCCTAGAGTCAGGAGTTCAAATCTGGCTTCAAACACTTACTAGCTGTGTGACCCTGGGCAAGTCACTTCACCCTGTTTGCCTCAGTTTCCTCATCTGTCAAATCAGCTGGAAAAGAAAATGGCAAACCACCCAGTATCTTTGCAAGCAACCCCAAATAGGGTCATCACTGAAAAATGACTGAACAACAACAATGGATAGGGACCAGATCTGTGATTTCATTGGTACAGGGGCTGGTGAGTGAAGAAACTCTACCAATACAAGTAGGCACCCTCTCTACAAGTTATGGTCTTAGAGACCAAACTCCCTAGAGTACTGAGAGGTTAGGTTGCCCAACCTTACACAGCCAGAATGTAACTGAGATGCCTTGAGTTCCATCTTCTAGTCTTCAAGGCTGGCTTTCTCACCACTGTGACACACTACCTTAAGAGGGGTGGTAGGGGAGATAGAACATCTAAACAGATAAGTTATGCACATGATAATCTGGGGAGGAGGAAGGAAGCATTAGCTGCTCTGGAAACCACAAAAAGTTTTCCAGAGGGGATAGCATATGAGCTGAGCTCTGAAGGAGCCAGAGATTCTAAGAGGTGGACGGGAGGAGAGAGTGCAATTCAGGCATGGACAAAAACAATGCGATACAATATAATACGACACAACACAATGCCATACAATACAACCTATATAAAGGTATGGAGATAGAAAGTAAAGTACCAAGTTTGGGGAACAGCAAATAGGCTAGTTTGAATAGAATACAAAGTACAGGAAGAGGCATAATGTACAATAAGCCCAGGCAGATAAGCTGGGGACAGACTGTGAAGGGCTTTAAATGCCAAGGGAGGAGTTTTTCTTTTATCCTATCAGAAACAGGTTGCCCCTGAAAAGTCCTTGAGCAGGAGAATAACAGTGAGGCGTGCTTTAGAAAGATTATTTTGGCAACCATGCAGAGGACACATTGGAAAAGGGAGAGATTGGAATCTCGGACTCCAATTGGAGGCTGTTGCAGTAGTCCTGGTGGAAGGTGATGAGGACCCAAATTAGGGTAGTGGGCATGTTACTGGAGAAAAGGAAACAGATGGCGGAGAAGAACTCACAAGCCTTGGCAATTAAGTTAACTATAGAGCATGAGGGAAGGGAGTCAAGCCTTCCATCCACCAGGACAGCCCCATCTCAGCCTTCCCATTCACTTGATATGTATTCACTCCCCATACCTAGAAACCTGAAATTCTCTACGCTGATCATAATTTCTCCTCTCTATTTCTTCCCCACCCTTACTAATCCTGAGCCTCTTGGTGTGACCTCCAGTCCCTCAACCACCCCTATTTCTTCAGCCTTTCATCTTTGTTCTGGCTTTTCTTCCTTCTGGATCCCAGAGTCAGCAATTCCACTACCTGAAACTTCCTCGGACCCTTGATTTTCCACCATTACTATCCTCCTAATCTCCAAGCCTAGGTAACCCGCACTAGCCTATCTTCCCTACTCTCTCCCACATACTGCTAGAGGTAGTCATCAGAATGTGCTCATTGTAAATTATAAATACATTACATAAATATATTACATAAATACATTACATAAATTATAAATACATAATATACATTATAAATTCATGATAACAAATTTGCTGCTGGCTGTTCAAACAGAATCCAGCAGATGACTTCACATCTAAACTCATTAACATTTCCCTTAAAACCCACTCCTTTTCCTGGACTTCCTGTTACTGTCAATGGTATTTAGAAAGACCAAGGTCATCCACTGCATCCTGGGCCATCACCAGTTGTCTTGACTTTTGTCAAGGAGATCATATGAGGGCTCATAACCTCAGGATCTTCTTCAACTCCTAAAGGCCACTAGGTGGCATAGTGGATAGAGTGTTGGGCAAAGAGTCAGGTAGGCCTGATTTTAAATCCAGCCTCAGACACTCAGCAGCTGTGTGACCCTGGGCAAGTAACTTAACTGCTATCTGCCTCAGTTTCCTCAACTGTAAAATGGGGATAATAACAGCACCTTCCTCTCAGGGTTGTTTTGAGATCAAATGATATAATGCATGCAAAGCACTTAGCGCAGTACCTGGCACACAGTATGTGCTTAATAAATACTTGTTTCAGGGCAGCTAGGTGGTATAGTGAGATAGAATTCCGGTCTTGGAGTCAGGAGAACCCGAGTTCAAATCCGACCTCAGACACTTGACACTTACTAGCTGTGTGACCCTGGGCAAGTCACTTAACCCCAATTGCCTCACCAAAAAGCAAAAAAAAAAAAAATTAAATTAAAAAAAATAAATGCTTGTTTCCTTCCTTCCTCTATCTCCTCCCCACCCTGCAAAATGGATTCTCACAATATGCCTGGAATTATCATTTCCACTACTACCACACCTTCATTTAGATTTTTATCATCTCTTGCCTAGATTATTTCAACATCCAACATCTCATAGAAAATTAATCTTTCA